TTGCATACAACAAATCGTTTGGTAATTTAGCACATAGAAATAATATTCTCATTCAGAAAAATGGTTTCAAAAGTTTACTTTTTTCTTGATACCAAATATAGGAAACTCGTGTATAATTTGATTAAAATCCAAATTATATATATTTATATGATTTACAGTGACGAGCAGAAACGAAGACAACTTTTACGACATAATAATTAAAGATAATAAGCAAATTTAAAAATGTTGGATTTATTTTATAACGTATTTCGTACTTAACAAAAATACTTAAAGTTAAAAATGAAGAAAAGAAAATAAAGAAAATTAAATCAACTCCAATGTACTCACTTTTGCACGTTTGAACAAATTTGCAGAACATTTTTATTACTTATACCGTAGTTTTATATTTTTATTGCGTAATTTATGCAATTTGGCATACGTTCTATCAGTTTTAGTACAATTTTATTTGAAATATTCTTCCAATTACATCAGAATCGCTGCCAAATTTCGTCTGAATTATTAGTTGCTGATTGGTATTGTTCCACCTCTTTCTTTAAGATTGGTCCCAAATTATCCTTCGGATTTGTGTCGAAACTTTGTGCTGACCACTGCGTTAATTGAAAATTTTGCTCACGAAGATATTCAATCACGAATTTGGACGAGGTGTCTTTGATAGTAATTATTAACAAGATAATAATTACTTATCCTCTCTACCAAGACTAGTTGATATGACTCTACAATGCTCTCAATAGACTTCTTTCATTATTATATTGTCAATTTTTTTACATCGCTCCAGGACCCACATGTTAAAGCCTATCCATACCATGGCAATTCCTCATTCGTGCTTCACATTGGGCCTTTGAATTAATTTCCATCACCAATAATGTTTATCGTCGGATTGAAAACGGTGGAATTTGGTTTCGTCGGACTTCATCACACGTTTCCAGTTGACCACAGCTCAACGATTGGTCTAGTTGAAAAGTCCTTATTCTGATTTTCAAAATTTGTCCTATAATACAGGTTTTTAGTTTTTTTTTTTTTTTTACAGTTGCTATATGCAATATCGGGAAGGGCTCTTCACGCCGTTCAATGGCTAACATGTTTGGCGAGTACTTACGAAGGATATTTTGGTGATAAAACTTATCAAATTACATTTCCCTCATCATTAGACAGACGTGGGCCCACACAACATATAAACGGTGTACGACCTCTAATTTGAGGTTTGGGAATAACGGGACATCGTTTTTGTACCCATATGACCACTGATTGGCACAATTGAAGTCCCTTTGCAATTTCCAAGTTAGAAAAGCTTCTTTCACTCAAGACCCGAATGTCCTCTTCAGTGGTTATTAAATATTTCTTCATGATTTATTATTATTAGTTATTTATTACTTTTTGTTCAAAACTTTGCACAATTTTTTTTAATTAGCTTTTTTAGTTTTATTTTTTTTCCATAATGTAAACATGTACCCGTTTCTGCACGCCACTGTATATATTTAGTATCCTTCAAAAAATACAATTCCAATATTATTTGGATTCATATACAATCAGAAAAACAGATTTTTCCCAATTGTTATCTATGACAATAATAACAATTCATAAATGTAATTACAATCAGAATTTTGGTTTTTAATCGGATATCATGATGATAAGATATACAAGCCTACGTTTATTTATTTGGTTAACTATATCGCTTCACTTTCTAATAAATTGCCAAAAAGAGAAAAAACACAAAAACAAGAAATCGCTTAGAAACAGAAACTATTAACAACCGATGTATAAAGATATACATTTTTCTGAACGTTCTAGATATAAAAACAAAAACAGTCAGTGCTGTATTGCTGTTGCTGGTTTTCAACATTCCGCACAATCTCAGATGATTCTATATTTTTTTCTACTTTTCGCTTTGGCGTTTTCGTTTTATTCTCCATTTTCTACAATGTGCCAAATATTTCAACCGGCTTTTTTTATTAAACTTTATAATCGCCAGTGACTAAAGACTGGTTTTTAAGGAACTTTTCATTTTTGTTCTTCTTGATTTGCAATTATATTGCTTTTATGTCTGTCACTAAGTCTGGTTCGTTCGTTGGTTGCGATGGTGGCGGCTATCGCAACGGAACAAAATCGCATGACTTGGTAACTGGTTTTGTTAGCAGCTCATCTGATTATAGGAAACGTACGAATGAACGTCTGAAGTCCAAGGTGGTATTATTGGAGGCGCAATAATCTCTCTAGCGCATTCATTAGTAGCATCTATTTTGCAGCTTTTATGGAATATCTCGATCTTTCTTTTTTGTGAAAATGCAAACAAAAATATTTATGCATTTTGTCGATACTCACTTCAAATGTGTGCATTTTTTCTCTCTCTCTCTCTCTCACTATGTTTCTCTTTTGTTTTGCTACACACTTGGTATGGGACTTAGGCAAATGTGAATCTTTTCTTGTTGGAATATTTTGCAACGTTGGCAATATCAGACATACATATACATTTTGACGTAGCCATGCGAGTGCCAAGCCTTCGCCCAATGCCACAACCAGACAGCCACGTTTTGTTTATTATTTTATATATCGCATGTTCATTGTTTTTGCTTTAGCGTCATATTCGCTTTCGCGTTCTTCTCATTCGTTTTACAAACTGTGCCGGCAAACTGTGCAAAGTTTATCGCAAGTCTGCCAGCAGATATCGCCAGCCAAGTATGCGAATGAGTGGCGCTGTGCTTAGCAGCGAACGAGTTGTTGATAGTTTTGTTGTTGTTTGCTGGCGTTTTTGTATACAATTCAAAATTTTATTTTACCATTTCGGCTTTCTACTGACATTTGGTGTTAATATTGGCTACGTAAACATGTACATTCGCGTTTACGTACGACGCTTCATCGTTCGGTTGTTTGTGTGGTATCGTTACGTCATTTTTAGCAATCGCATCGAGCTCTGATTGGCTAAAAAAATATCGTACGATAAAATGTTTTCATTGAAAAGCAAAAGAAGCCCACATCATATTCAATTGCAGGCTATAGCTAGCTGGCTGGCTGAATTATTGTTGTTTTGCAGCTAAATGGCTTGTTGGTAGTAGGTACTGCGGCACCAGAAACGCTCACTAACCAAAATAAATAATAAATACCCAAGAATGAATCAACTCTTTGCAAAAAAAACTTATTCACCTTGTCTTTTGGTACTCTCTGTTTTATAGCGGCGACCACCCCGCTTAACTAGTTTGTCAGCAGAGCGGGCACGTCATAGTCGATGGATCATCTGTTAATAATTCGTTTGCCTCCTCGTCCCGCCTACTTTGTACTAATGATTGCATTGATGTCACCACCACCCCTTGGCGTGCTAATGCAAAATAGGAACACTTTTATAAATATCCACTGAATATAAAATACAAAACCAACAACAACAAAAACAACAGTACGAAGCTTCAACTTGTTGCTTGACTGCTGTTCTCGTTTTCTGATGGTGGTGTGATGATGGTGGCGAAACCTCTTTTTAGCCAAACAAAAAATAAATACAAATTCTCATATTGTGTTTTATGTTTTCGCTTTTCCTCCTTACTATCAATTTGGCTAGTCCATCACCTCATACTTTGCAATGTTTAACATAGACATACAAAGAGATAGATATAGTAGTGGTAGTTGCCAATGGGGGGTTTCAGTATATTTTGGCCAAATTAGATGTGCGTTTTTTTGCTTTGCTTTATTTATTCATTTTATTTTTTTTTAATTTTACCTACATGTTTGAGGGGCAACTGTTCTGTTTATTTCCTTTGAATGACGACTTATAATTACTGAAGGTTATAAATGTTGGGATTTTTTAAATAATTCGCAAATATGTGGTATTCTACGTGCGTATTCGCCATAGCTGCATTTTAGTTAATATGCACGTTTTAATGTCCAAGTAGGCTTTCAATTTTACGAAAATTTTATTGACAGCTAAGTGTCATGTTCGACTACAATATACACCCAACACTATATATTCCAATTTGTTGTAAAATGCTAGTTTTTAATGAAATACAAGATGACTGCGGAAATATACATTATTCAAGCACGCAAGCAAGAATTTTGCTCTAATCAGTTCTTACATAATAATATATTTGAAATAAAAAACAAAAAGTAAGCGCCATATAAAAATTCGTTAGAAATTACAAAATATATGCAATGGAAAATATTGGTCCTTCAAATCTGCTTCCTTGAATTCTGACATTATTGTTCAGACACACATTGACATCGATTATTAAACGTCTTTTTTTCAATATTCATAAATTTTTGCATATTTATTTAGTATTTCCATGTTATTCTATTCGGGTCAAGTAGTCTTTCGAATTTGCAATTGTTACAAATTTATAAAAATTGAATTGAAAATGCTGAAATGCTTTCTCACTTAATTTAATTTATGTTTACTTGATTTTCTATATACAAATGCGAGCATCATAATCATCATAATCAAATCATTTACATATTATGTAAATGATTTGTCATAAAGATATATATTTTTTACAATTCTATATTTCAGATACACAATTGTGAAATGTAAATCTTATGGAGATTCAAAATACGATTTAAATTGTTCATTTAAATATAAACAAAAATTTTCATATACTCAAACAAAAAAGGCTTGGCGATTAGATACATTAGATATTAGATTTGATATATGATATATATTGTTGACAATTACAATTAACAAGTTAAAATATTCTATTTGGCTACGGGAAATTGTGAATTGTTGTGTTATTGCTTCAGTCAAGGTTAAGAATTTGGACTCAAATATATATATATATATATATATGTGTTAAGAATTTGGACTCAAATATATATATATATATATATATATATGTGTGTATACAACGATTTTAAAGAATGGCGTAGATTTTGTTTATTCTAAATATAATCTTATATTTGTGCATGTGTAATTGTTGGTAAAGTTCCAAAACAAAAAGTAAAACATTGAGTTCATTCATATACTAGTTAAAATTCCAAATCCCGCATATAAATATAAAATAATTAATATTTTTTTATTTTCATTACAGGTGTCCTGGAGGATATACAAAAAGATTTTCAAATGCCTGACGATGATGCAGGCCTGTTACAAACTGTTTTTGTGCTATCCTATATGGTGTGTGCGCCAATATTTGGTTATTTGGGTGATCGATATTCGAGACGTTGGATAATGGCTATTGGCGTTCTATTATGGTCCACAACAACGCTGCTGGGCTCATTTATGACAGGTTCCGGCTGGTTTATGACATTCCGTGCCTTGGTGGGCATTGGCGAGGCATCTTACAGTACCATAGCCCCGACAATAATATCAGATCTATTTGTACATGATTTACGTTCGAAAATGCTGGCCGTTTTTTATTTTGCCATACCAGTTGGTTCTGGTTTTGGGTAAGTTATGCAGTGTTATTTATACACAAATACACCTATGTCTGTATGTATGTATATACAAATTGTTGTATATTTACTTGCTTTGATTTATTGCCATTTTTATTTGGCAAAATTTCATCAAGTTCAAGTTCAGCAAAAAACAAATGAAAAAATCCCACAATGTACATACTGAAATTTTATCTCTTGACAACTAGCTTTAAATGTCAATTGAAATTCAAATGAAAGAATTGTTGTTTTCCTCTCAGAGTTCAATAACAAATAATGATCGCTAAATTTAAATATAAGAAGAATATGTTAAAATATCGCGTGTTTTCATTTGGAAAGCGTTCAATTTACAAAATTGGACTATTGTCGATACACCACCATCGCCACCATAATAACATATTGAGATAAAAATACATTATTTGTCAATCTAACAATTGACCCTTATGTACAAATTATGAAACTCATTGTGTGCGTGCGTGTCTTTATTTTTTTCTCCAAATGTCAAATTAAGGTTGCTCTAATTGATATTTGTCTGGATAATTAAATTATCATAAAAAATCAATTGAATTTTTATCATCGGGCTGTGTACAGTTATTTACTTACTGATTTTTTTAGTTTATTTAAATTAGTTACTGTTTTTCAACCTTTTCACCCGAATAATTTCCAATTGAAAAACATTTGTTTATATTAAATGAAAACTGGGCGGACGGCTGGCATTTCTCATATAATGCGTCTATTATAGATGATGCAGAAAGATTTCAGGAATTATAGCAAAAGTATTGTTGTGCTAAACCAAAAACAAACAAAAAATTAAATTTTGCATTTCAAATTGTTTATGTTATTAATTAGACTGAATTAGGATTGAATATACAGTGGGTTTGATTGTCCACATTTTTATTAAATGGATTTAAAAAAAATGTCCAAAATTCGAAATTTTGTATAAAAAATAGAATATTTCTTACAAATTTCATTATAAAATAATTATAATTATAAAATAATATGTATCCCATCTTTTCCCTTTTTACAGTTACATTGTTGGATCTGAAACAGCTCACTTGGCTGGAAATTGGCGCTGGGCGCTACGTGTCACACCCATATTGGGTATTGCTGCTGTCGCTTTAATTTTGCTCATTAAAGATCCTGAACGTGGTGAAAGTGAGGGTTCTCACAATCTCTCAACAACCACATATACTGAAGACATCAAATATTTGGTTAAGAATCGTTCATTTATGCTGTCCACCGCTGGTTTCACATGTGTTGCCTTTGTGGCCGGAGCTCTGGCTTGGTGGGGACCAAAATTCATTTATCTTGGCTTGAAAATGCAGCCTGGCAATGAAAATCTAATTCAGAATGAGTAAGTATTTTCGAAAACACGAACATAAAATGAATTATATATTGTTGTATATACTCAACACACACACCCATACAAACATAACACTATATAACTATGTAATTAGCGTATCGTACAAGTTTGGAATGATAACTATGATTGCTGGCCTAATTGGTGTACCCTTGGGTTCTATAATGGCAACGCGCTTTAGACATCAAGTCGAGAATTGTGATCCGTATATTTGTGCGGCTGGTTTACTAAGCTCAGCTCCAATGGTTTATTTAGCATTGTATTTGTCGCGAACCAGTGCTACATGGTGTTTTCTATTTATATTTGGAGCTCAATTGGCACTGAATCTATGCTGGTCCATTGTGGCAGATATACTGTTGGTAAGATAACTTTTTATTTGAATTTCATTATAGATTATTAAGAATTTGTAACAGCTATAATGCAACCACCTCGTCAACGAGAACAACGTCTCCATCAGAACCATCTTCAGAATAACCCACTTGTACGAACGCTAAACAAAGTTTTTTTCTTTAACGGATTTTCTTCTTAAAATATTTTGACAAATTTCTAAATTATATTAAATCGTTTCTTATTCTTTTTTCTTACACTTTGCATTGTAATGTTGTTCGTACAAAAACATAACAAAACAACAGCGTATCTTTCAAATTTGGTGCCATAACAATGATTGCCGGAATTATAGGTGTACCTTTAGGTTCATTTTTGTCCACCAAATTGGCTAAAAGTTTCCCCACTGCCGATCCCTTGATCTGCGCCTTTGGATTAATATTGAGTGTGCCCCTAATGACGGGAGCCATGATAATTGTCTCTGACAATACTGTTGCTACATATATTCTAATATTTTTCGGCCAACTGTCATTGAATATGAATTGGGCAATTGTTGCTGATATTTTGCTGGTAAGATATTTCTCTATTCGTATCCCCCTTCTTCTTTTGCGAACATTGTATAAAATATTCATGTAAATGTTGTTTAATTTTTATTATTTTTTGTTTTAATATTTACTGTTATAATTAACATATATATTGTTATTGTAATTGGAAAATTGAGAATTGTTATCTTCTTAATTTCTAGTGAATAATTACAATTTAGATAATATTATTGTTTTTTTTTTTTTTTTTAATTTTCACACAAGTCTAATAATCTAACAACAAACACAATTCAAAAGTAAACTTTTTTGGGAATCGAATTTGAAATATTGTTTATTCACATATATTTTAAAGCAACAAAATGATTATTCCCATGGGAATTATTAGTTATTCACGTTCTCCGTGTTCGATTATTTTAAAAGTTCTTGAATTGTGTTTGCTCTGGTGTTGGTAATTTTATTTTTGACTAATTTCCTTTTTTTACCTCACTTATATTACTGCACATATTGCCACATAAATACTACACTCGTTTTTATTTTCAATCGTACAAACCACACACACAAAACACTTCTACACGGTGGCAAACAGAATATTGTTGCACACAAAAGCTTTTACACACCCTCCCAATAAGATGGTTAACGCCATTATTGTAGTTGTGAATATTATTCACAATATACACACATATATGCTACGTCATAGCGCCCACACACACACACACATTGCAAACAAACCTCTTTTTCAAATGAAATATAAAATCATTTATGCCTCTTGTTTTTGGGCCACCTGCCCCTGTCCCCATATACAAAAAGGCCTGACCCATACTGTTGTGTTGTAGTATTTAGAATTTTTGCATTATTTAAGCATAGAACACACCCCCTTTTATATTTGACTATTTATAAAAATGTTCTATTTTGTAAAAGTGGTTTACAATTACTCCCCCAGGATTTTGTCAAACAAACAGGTTTCAGCGCAATATTGTTTCGCCGCGTGAAAGGTGGGGAGGGGAGTGTAATAAAATTGTTAGTAGATGGGTGGAACACCCCCCATTGTATGAGTTGTTTATTTTGTTTGGGGACGAAAAAGAAATGGCAATTTGCCGGCTGGACTCATCCCACAAAAAATGACACTTACAGAATAAAACATAATGATATCTAAATGATGATACATTATGCAGGCATTTATCAGGAATAAATTACCAATTTCATTTTTACCCCCCATGTTCATTACGTAGTAAAGGAGAAGAATTTATTTTACACACTCCCCTTTTCATATAACTTTTTGTATGGAATATTAAAAGTTTTGAAAATACCCATAACAACCCTATAAATATTTATAGGTCTTGTGTGGAACTTCCTTTTCTAAACGACATCGGCAATTCCTATATTAAAGTAATTTGTACCTTTCAATAATTAGATTTACAAAATTCCACAATTTGTTGTGATTACTTTACGTCAGCAATTTGTTGTAGAACTAATCATTTCTATAGGTTAGATGTTGTTTTTGTGTCTATTTTTATATTATAGATTAATTTTTGTTTTTGTGTTTTTTTTTTCGTTGCTTCTTTATCTCTGACATCCAAACAAGTAGGTGCTAATTTTTATGACGTATATGATCTGACTGGCATCATCACAATTCGTTCGTTTTTTTTTCTTTCCTTCTCCACAGACGACAATTTTACCTCGTCGTCTCTTATTGTTTATATAAATAATTATAATTATTTAATGTGTTATGTAGACATGAAATTATTTAACATGGTCTGCAATTTTATCTCCCTACATATTTTGTTGATAACCGTTATCAACATGGCAGTGAATTCACTGAAGTACTTTTATATTATATATATATTATATATTCAAAAAAAATTGTCTTTTAGTAAATTTTAAAAAATATGTTTTAGAGTAGCGCACTATGGTAGTAATGGGTGCGTAGGTATGGAGAAAGGTGATATGATATCTCATTTAGATATGTGGACCAACACAGTCATTTGCACACTTCCTAGTTTAGACAAAGCAACGTTTTTTCGTAACAATAGTAAATTTCTGTACAAATAAAAAATAACTTTCTATTGGGTAAAGGCATAATTGTTTTTTAAGAATATCGCCTTGATGAGCATAAACTTTAAACATTTAAAAACGTTCTTCAAAAAAATTATTTCTATTCAACAGAACAAAAAAAAAATGTTCTCATTTTACATTAGGAATATCTCTCAGATAGGTCGTCCATTATTCTCTTTTAATATAACGCCACTCCGTTATTAGTTATTGTTTACAAAATTGTTGTAAAATTTCAAAATTATTCTTTATATTATTAAAGATATATTCTTTATATTCGTTTTTAAATTCATTATTTATTTTCCATAAACACTTTTCATCACAACTTTTAAATAACAAACCAACACCATTTTGTGTCTGCACCTCCTTTACAATTTTATAACAGTAAAATTGAACAAAAAAATACCCACGATTTAAACAACACTTACATGGAAAGGACATAATGTTCGTACATTAAGTATCACATTCATTAGAAGCGTTTTTGTTTTTTTTTTTTTTTATTTTTTAACTCGGTGGAAAAAAAGAAAAGCAAGAGCAAAAGAAAACAACAGCAATTGGCAATTCATAAACAATACAATGAAGCCTGAAAATATGCAGTACATTTATGCTGTAGTTAATATATTAATGTACAGTACTTTTTCGTCCATGAAGATTGTTCTGGTGTTGGCGTTTTAGAAACTGTACTGTTTTAAATTGTTCTCACACGTCACTGTCTGCTTTTTGTGGTGGTGTAGTGTGGGAACAGATTCTGTTGTTTCGTGCTCGAGTGGCTCCATCTTTTGTTCACTTTTGTTACTAACGTTTAGACTTTTATTTGTTGTTGGTTATTTGGTGCATGTATTCGATAATGTTCTAAAGCTTTCTGTTAATTAAATTTCACATTGGTGGTTGTTGCACAGTAGTTTGTAGTATATATTCGTGAATATTGTAAAATATCAATATTTTATATAATTAAGAATAAAAATATATTTTTTTTTACAGTATGTCGTTGTTCCAACACGCAGATCAACAGCTGAAGCATTCCAAATATTGATATCACATGCTTTAGGTGATGCCGGTAGTCCCTACCTAGTTGGAGTGGTAAGTAGTTATTATATATATAAGTATTGTATAGTTTCAAGCGTCCACTACAAGTACAAAGAAATATTTCCGTTGATTTTCCAAGTTACATGAAATGAGGAAATGTCACGGAATTATTATTGGGTAAAATCTTGAAATATTCAATTATTTTTTTTTAATATTTATAGGAAAATTATTGTTTTATAATTTAGATCCACCATCATATTTTCTTTTCATATTATTTATTTATTTTTATTTATTTTTTTTTGCCATTTCAGCTATCAGAAGCTATTAAGAAACATTTACGCACAAATGTCCACAGAGTTTCAGAATTTGTTAGCAGTGGTGGCCTGGAAAGCCTATCTCTAACAGTGGTTGAGACTGTAAATTCAACAATAGCAAACGCAACAAACGCACTAATGCCGAGTACAAGCACAACAGTGCCAACAACAACTACAACCTCTGTACCAATAATCTCAGGCTTTAATCACAACGAGGTATATAAATATATATATATATATATATATAAACAAATGCAATGAATTCATTTTCTACAATAATTCTTACTTCATCATTTCTTTATAGGACACCGATCTAACCAAATTTGAAGCTCTACAGTATGCATTATTCTCAACCTGCTTCGTGGAAGTGTTGGGTGGTATATTCTTTTTAATAACGGCTGCCTTTATTATTAGTGATAAACGTAAAGCTAGTCAAGCTATTCGTGGTAAGTTCTAATTTTAATAACACAAACTGAACTAAAATAAAAACAGAATCATCATGAAATTTCACTCTGACAATAAAAATTGCGATTGTTGCTTTAAGCTTTATAAAAAAAATAATTGTTATACATTTTAACTATACTTCATATTTGTTTTTAAGTGAAAATGTCTTTGTGTACTATTTCGTTATGATTTTTTCTGTATTTTCTATTTTATTATTTCGTCAACAAAATATTTTTTATTTATCACCACTTATTAGTAAATATTTCCTCTTTAGTTTTCGAACTCACAGACTTTACGGACTGCAATAAGAATGATGATACAGACGATTCAAATTGTTCCAAAAATATCGACATTTAAAAAAACAACAAAATTATATTTAGAATATTTCCAAAATTTTAGGTGGGTTTTGAGTTTTTTCATGTTTGTTGTTTTTTTGATTCCCTTTTTGGTTTAATTCAACTAACAATTCTGCCCACTTACTTGCCACTTTTACTGCTCTGCATTGTTAATACCATTTTTGGATTTTTATAATAATGCCTAGGCTTTGGACAATAATGCTTAATATTAAAATTAATTTAAACAACTTTTATGCATCAGTTGTATATAACTAAATTTGGAAAGAAGTTTTGTTTCAACTATTATGTTTAAAATAGTCTTATATATTGCAATGTAAACAAATATTAATCTGTACGAAGGGGAAATTATTTTGTAGGTAAAAATTATATTTTGTTTAGTCAAATATCTTAAAGTATAGTTATTGCTAAATAAACAAAAAAATCAAACTTCTAAGTTATTGGAAATAAAAATAAATTATAAAAATTAAAATATAAAATAAATTATCCATAAAATCACGATCTTTCAAACAAAAGAAGACCTAGGGTTGTTAGAAACGGATTAAGATGGACGAGTTGAACAAGGGTTAAATCCGATATCGTGTGATAATGTTAATCGTTTGATAGCAAGTTGTTTTATTTATTTTATTTGTATGTTTTATAGCAAAGCTTTCAAATGACTTTTGTCTTTTAAGTAAAATCACTATTTCACATATGGTAATATTGCCCAGTATTTTAATAGATTTTTCGTTCTTTGATTTCCACATGTATTAACGAATATCCTTGTTGAATAAATTTAAGAAATCGAAAGTTTTGGTTCGTAACAAAAGACCCTTAATTTTCCATTGCATAAAAGAATACCACATAATGTAGCGATTAAAGAAATATGTACTTTAAATACCTATATAACAACTTTTCCTAACTAAATTTGTCTTTTTTCGTTACACATTTTTATTTTTGTATGTGTTTGTTTATTTCCTAACGAGCTTTATTATGTTTTGAAAATAACAATATTTTTCTGTCCTTTACAATATGTAAATAAAAACACTTCTTTCTTTTTTACTTACAGATGGCCATCAAGCTGTGCCAAATCATGCCCCTGTCGATATTGATGAAATTTCATAAATTTTATCTCAAGCGCGCAATGCTGCAACAACCAAAATTAAAACCATTTTTTATGAGTTTTGTCATTTTCAATCATACTGCCATTGAAGTCATTACAAAAGTATGTTTGAATTGATGCTGCTACAGACTGATGAACATAGAATACAAAAACAATCATTACTACTCTTCATTATAAGTTAAGTTTTAATTTAGCCTGCAACGTTTAGAGATTTATTTTCCTGTTCACGACGAACTGCAGAATCTCTATCTCCCGCAATATGTGAGATAGAAACAGCGAATAACGTTTGCATGTAAAATGTACCACATCCTATTTCACTGAGGTACAGGATGTTCCTACAATCACGGCAAGACAAAAACGACGATAATGCGCTACAACGCCGATAATCACTTCAAATAATATCTCTAAAAAAACTAATTTATCTCAATTTTCAATTTTATCCTAAAATTATTTAAGTATTTTTTTTATTATTATTTTAAAATTGTTATCAATTGAAATTTCTTGCTATGTATTTTGTTTTATTTTGTAGTGCGGAAAGGAAAACAAAAACAATTTAGTATTAGTTGTTTTTATTACTATTATTATTAAATTATAAATATTAGATTCACTTCCTTCATTACATATACACATTTTTAATCTGAATTCTCAATCTATCCATTAAAAATCATAACTCATCACATTAGTCGTTAATTACCTTGAATATGTAAATGACATATATATACATGAACTCTCTGGCTGGCACCTTCCATTGACTACTAGCATAATAATGTATTTATTATTGTAAAAGATGGACGCACACATGTGTCCATTAGGGAAAGTTCATTCATTTCATTTTGTAAATATTAGTTTAGTAGAGAAAAAAATCATCTTAAATTAAGTATGGACTCTGTGTAGCCTAGAATTTGTATAATCCAATAGTTAGTTGTTTTTTTTTTTTTATTTTATTTTGAAGACAACATCTATGTGTATATGAAGTGCAAGAAACTAAAGCAATTTTTTAAACAACATTTATGCTCACTCATATCACCACACCCATTGTGTCCATGAAGAAAAGAACTCATTGTGTTTTACTTACAAAATTGTACAATTGGTCCAATGCATAAAATGAAAAGTCAGTAGTTGCTAAGGTTGTTTCCACATGTATTATTAAAGAGAAGAAGAATCAAAATTTTATATATGTTTGGGATCATTCGGAATTTTATGTTAAACAAAAACATATTTATATTTACAAGTCGGTAATAGTAGACAAATTAAGAAATCCAAAAAGACTGTAATCTTTTGAAAATTGTTATAAGAAGAAACAAAATATGTGAATTGATTGAATACAAAAAAAAGTAAAACACGATTTCCCAGGTTTATTTTTATCCATTATGAAATAAAACTAATTCTACAATGAAAACATTAAATGTGTCTTATTTTGTGATATAAAACTGATTAAAATAAAAAAGTAGGATTGTTTAATCTGTGATGAACATATAACTAGACCTCGGATTTTTGCATATTTTTTATGCTTTATCCGATTGGACTCAAATTTTGTATTTAGGCGTTTCATGCTTTAATTGATCGATATTTGGGGTCATGTCAAAAATATGCAAAAAATATGCAAAATATATGCAAAAAATATGCAAAATATATGCAAAAAATATATATGCAAAAAATATGCAAAATATGCAAAAAATATGCAAAATATGCAAAAAATATGCAAAAATATGCAAAAAATATGCACGGTATGCTAGGTCGATATGCGATAAATATATGCAAAAAATATACAAAATATGCATTGTCGATATGCTAAATATGCAAAAATATGCAAAATATGAAAAATATGCAATAATATGCAAAATATGCAAAAATATGCAAAATATGCAAAAATATGCTAAAATATGCAAAAATATGCAAAATATGCAAAAATATTCAAAATATATTCAAAATATATGCAAAATATGCAAACATATGCAAAATATATGCAAAATATGCAAACATATGCAAAATATGCAAAAATATGCAAAATATGCAATCATATGCAAAATATGCAAAATATGCAGAAATATGCAAAATATATGCAAAATATGCAAACATATGCAAAATATGCAAAATATATACACGGTATGCTAGGTCGATATGCGATAAATATATGCAAAAAATATACAAAATATGCATTGTCGATATGCAAAATATGCAAAAATATGCAAAATATGCAAAAAATATGCAAAATATGCAAAAAATATGCAAAATATGCAAACATATGCAAAATATATGCACGGTATGTTAGGTCGCAATATTAAAGATAGAACTTTGAAATTTTGCACATATATTATTATTACTCCTAGGATGTTTGGTATTGGAAATGGGATATATAGGTCCACGTTTAAGTATATCGCCATATAACGGTTATATATGTTTGCATGTTTTATACATATATTTAGCAAATTTTTCATAATGCCCCAAAAATCTAACAGTTGAACCATGAAACGCATACATACACAATTAGATTTCTATAGGTTAAAAATAAAGAAAGCACACAAATTCGAAAACTACCCTGAAATTTTTTTTTTTTTTGATTAAAATGATTGCATATGTGAAATATGTTGCTCATATTTGCACATATTTTGCATATTTTTGCCTATATTTTTCATATTTTTTGCATATTTCTCGCATATCGACCTAGCATACCGTGCATATTTTTTTGTATATTTTGCATATGTTTGCATATTTTGCATACTTTGCATATATTTTGCATACTTTGCATATGTTTGCATATTTTGCATATATTTTGCATATTTTTGCATATTTTGCATATTTTTGCATATTTTGCATATATTTTGCATATTTTTGCATATTTTGCATATGTTTGCATATTTTGCATATTTTTGCATATTTTGCATATGTTTGCATATTTTGCATATGTTTGCATATATTTTGCATATTTTTGCATATTTTGCATATTTTTGCATATTTTGCATATGTTTGCATATTTTTGCATATTTTTGCATATTTTGCATATGTTTGCATATATTTTGCATATTTTTGCATATTTTGCATATTTTTTGCATTTTTTGCATATATTTGCATATTTTTCCATATTTTGCATAGTTTTGCATATTCTGCATATTCTTGCATATTTTGCATATTTATAGCATATCGACCTAGCATACCGTGCATATTTTTTGCATATTTATCGCATATCGACCTAGCATACCGTGCATATTTTTTGCATATTTTGCATATTTTTGCATATTTTGCATATTTTTGCATATTTTATGCATATATTTTGCATATTTATTGCATATCGACCTAGCATATTTTGCATATCTCGTGCATATGCAAAATATGCAAAAAATTAAAAAATATGAACCCTTCAAATAATTCTAAATTCTTTGAAACGAATTTGTGTCCAATCAGAATTTCGATATCTTCATTATTAAAAAATATGCAAATATGCAAAATCCGAGGTCTACATATAACAAAGAATGCGTATACCTTACAGTGTAAATTTTTGCATGAATAACGCTAAATATGTTTAGTCCTATAACAGTCAGTAAGTACCTTTTTGAAGAGTTTTCAATTCGTCGATTAGGAATAAAAAAAAAACAAAAAAATACACGTATTGACTGATATCGATATTTAAATATCTTACATATTCGGAACAAATTATCACCTAAAAATATACAACGCTGAATCTATCTTACATAACGCTAAATAGCTTACATATTCGGAACAAATTATCACCTAAAAATATTTAACGCTAAATCTACAATAGACAATCAGGGTGCGGAGAATAAGTAAAATACGCTCTTTCTCACGAATGCTCACGGCGAGAATCCAAATGTATTCAATTTATCGCGAATGATAAAGTTACAATGAATGAGCAATCATTTGCAATTTTTCGCGAATGTTAGCATTGTACGAAAAATTAACGAACGATAAAATCGTCGTCGATTCGTTCTTTCGCGAGCATTTGCTGCGAAAGAACATTCAAACATCTCAAAAATACAAATGTTCGCGGATGCTCGGGAGCTCTGTTAACAACAACATCAAACAAAAATATCAACTTACTGAGTAAATGTTACTTGAAAAGTAACCAGACACAGCTATATTCAGCCTTATTTTGGATATAAGCTCCCTGTGATATATTCATGCTATAATATATTTTATATTGCTCAACATTTCCAAAAAGTTTAAATATGCAGATTATTAATTATATATATACTTACTTAGCTGTCTTGTTACGGAACGGTTGTTCCATAAGCCTAAAAGCTTAAAAAAGATTTCCAGAAAACCCACGTTCCAAGATGTTGGTCTGGCGGGAGGTTTTCTAATCTGCTTACTTAGACCATAGTAGCATCTGTTGGCCAACACTATTCTTCTTCTAATTTCAAAACCGATGTCATTAGTTTTATTTATTTTGGTATCAAGGTATATAAAATATTTTACTACTGTAATTCTCAAGTTCCACGTTGGTCCGAGTCTACTGGACGTCTTGCGCGTTGATACCATCAACTGCTAGGACCACTTTGGGAGACTACTTCACAATTTGTTCAAAGGTGGCTGTTTTCGCTCGCAATGTTCGACTCATTATATCGATGTCATATATATCGAGGGCGAATACCATGTGTTGTTTGGTGTACATTTCTGTTCACCCTTTACCAGAATGATGTTAAAAATATCAGACGACAAACTGTCACCTTGTCTGAATCCTGGTTCGGTATTAAACGGCTCCGATAGGTCTTTTCCGAATTTAACTGCTGACCTTGTGCCAATTAAAATTGTCCTGCATAACCGTATTAATTTTGGAGGAATACGGAATACAGAAATGACTTTTAACACCTCTGAAGTGATAAGGCGAAAAGGTGTCGATGTGTTTTTCGTGGGTGTTTTCCAGGATTGGGGCAGAGTGAAAATCTGGTCAAAGGTGGATTTGCCAGGATGAAGCCGCATTGGTATGGTCCATGGTACAATGAATAGGTAGTCCATTTAGCGCAGCTGATGTCTTGATTAACTGTCAAAGTGGGTAATTTCTACTTGAATTCGTTGTGCAGTGTTGCCAACCATTTGAAATATTATATGGAAAAATTTGACTGATGTTCGAGACAAAAACAACGGTTTTTGTTTTGATACATCGCCTTATTATTGCATCATGGTATGGTCCAATAATATCATTGACCATTGGCTTCAGTTCAATACTAAGGTTTGTGTTGCATTGT